TTTGTAGGAAACCGCTGAAGCACTTTCAAACACTTCTTTTAAAAGCTTTTTTTAAAACAGTTTCTTTCTTTTATAGAACATCTGTAGAGCGGGTAAGCACTTTTTTAACGAAAATTCCAAATTTCCTTTTTTAAAGACAATATTATTAACTTGTTATTTATTTTTTTTATAGGTCTTCAGCTTTTGATTAATCGTAGGTATATCTCAGAAGAATTCGGAACATAGGAATTTAACATTTTCTTTTATCTGGTATCAAATCTTAGATTCATTGTTGATTCTGAGTGAGTATCCGAAAGATTTAGAAAATAGCCCAAGAAATTTTTTTACCAACATTTTTCTTTTTTTGTAGGAACTTCAGCCCTGGATTCCCAAATAAAATTTCAAAACGCTATTAGAAACAGTTTAGCTTTTAGGAATCCTGCTTTCAGGATGAGTGGATGGTAAATTTCGAAGTTTTAACTTCAAAATCTTACTTTTTTAATTAAAGAAACAGTATACTGACCATTTCTTTAACTATTTTGTAGGTTTCGTATTTTAAAGTGGTGGATGCAGTCACGTGAAAGGAGTATGGTGACCTAAATGGTCTAACTGCAGAACGTGTACAGGGAAAAATACGATCAGTAGATACTATTACGAATTAACCATAAGATCAGAATAAATTTTACTATAGTGTTATAAGTGTTATAGTATTTGTATTAACATTTGTAAAACAATTAAAAATCAATTGAAAATATATTATTACATTTGTATTATAGATTCACTATAAATTCATTATAAATAAATTATAAAGCTATTTTAAAACTATTACAAAAACTATTACGAAAACAAGTATAAATAATTGCAGAACTATTTCACATTATTTCGCAATGAAATTATAAGCCTAGATAACATGCTTTTAATAGTTGACGAAATGCATATGAAATGCATTAAAACTATATAAAAATAATATTATCTGTTATAGCTATATCAAAAGCATTTCGAAAAAATAGCTATTTTTAGCAAAGTTATTATGTATTAATTATAAAGGGGCAAAGAAAAGTATCGGTACATGTTATATCGTGAAACCATATATAATATCGGTACAACGACTTTACTAAAAATGATACTTTTTTTGACATATATTTGTAGTATTTCTAAATGTCTTACAAAAACCCTACAAGAACATTTTGTTATGCATTACAACCATGTTATCTAGGCTTATAATTTTGTCTCGACATATTTGATATTATTTCGTAATACATTTTGAAATAGGTTTGAAATAAACTTGAAATATATATTTATTAATTTAGTAGTTAATGCATAATAGTTTTACAATGTATTTGTAGTATTTTATTAATTAATTTGAATAATTGCGCAATCTTTTACATAATGGTACTATAAAGTATATAATTACTAACTATATAGCAGTATAATAAAAAATATTATGTACAGTCACGTCGGAAAGTATCGCCCGATTCACTATTACATAGTAAATTACATATAAAAAATGAATACTGAGTTTTAAAATTAAAACAGCTCTTGCATTTTAACCTTCCCAAGGATCAAATATTGTTATTTTAAAGAATATTATATTGGCTTTATAGTGATATAAAATTTAGAAATAATTAATAAAAGAAATATAAATATATATGCAGCTCATTTTTATATATAAATTTTATTTTTCGGGTCTAAAACATATAAAAAAAAACTTTTTTACCTTATAAATAATATAGCTCTTGCATTTTAACTTTCCCAAAATTCAAACATCAATATTTCAAAGAATATGGTATTGGGTTTAAAATGATATAAAATTTAAAAATGGTTATTAAAAGAAAGTTGAATATGTATATAGCCTGAAATTTTCTATTTTTTATATGTTTTACTATAAAATTTGAATCGGGCGATACTTTCCGACGTGACTGTACGTAGTATACATTATTTTCATTATGCTTACCATTATTACAACCTGATTTTCGGCATTGATGTACAAAATGCACATTTGGTTGATGATCTACCCATTTAACTACATAAATTCGATGCCATGTTTGATCAGCTGAACGTTGAAGTCTATAACGTGGACAACATAATTTTAAATCATTAGTATTTAATGAAATAAACCAATCTAATATTAAGAAAGGAATTTCTAATTGATCTTTGGTATGAAGAAAAATTGCCTGAATTCGTGCATAAGAAATTGTTGTTTTTGCTTCATTTTCTCTACTATCAGTTGTATCACTTGATACATCTTCTAAAATATCAATAACATCACCAACATGAAGATTTACATTAACTACTTCATCATCATCAACTATAGTATAGCTAATACTTTTGAAATATTTTACCTTTTGTGATGCAATATGTTCAGTACAATTAAGTTCATCCTGGTATGAACGTTCAAGTTCAGCAAATAGATCATCATTAAGAATGCTTTTAAGACCAGCAGTTTGTAAGTCATCTTTTTTGTACATTTCCTGAACTCTTATATTAATATAATTTTTGTCCATGCATGTTATTTGTGTATCATTATCTCGTTCTAATTCAATTTTTGGTAAAATATACCATGAATCAAGAAGTAAGCGTATACAGTGGTCTTTTGATAATATATTAAAATCAAATTGTTCTGTTAAATTACACCTTTCATCAGTACCTCCATCTAACAAAAATTGCAAAGTTTGCAAGCAGTTATCACGACGTACAAAGTCCAGTTCAATATTCTTTTTGTTTGAATGAGGAATGATAGCTTTATATAGTCTATGAACCATTTCTTTCGTAGGTACAGCTATATTTACTAAAGTTGCAAAATTTCTTGCATGCATAATAAAATGGCGTTGAATATGAAAATTTGGTAATTGTGCAATATTAGGAAAAATCTAAAATTAAATAAACAGTTATTAATAATTATAAATAAAATATTGCATGCAATCAATCTAATAATAAAAATTATATGTTATGCATTCAAATTTTTTGTACATGTGACTTACTTTTGCAACTTGTACAGCCCATTGTACTAAATTTCGTTGCAAATCGTTGAAACAATTTTCAGAAAATTCTTTGCGAAATACTAAATATACCATTTTAGAAAATGATATCTATAAATTTAGCAATTGATCTATTACGCGACTTTTTGTGATAGTGCATGCTTTAATTAAATGTTCAATAAATGACTTGTTTAACATTGTAACATTAGATATTGCTCGATTAATAAGAAATGGCATGATCATACTTAACCGAAGATAATCAGAAAAAAAGTATGAGCCTAAGTGAGTAATTGGGTTTTGTTGGCAAGATCAAATTAAGGGAAATTCAAAATTACACCAAGTTTTCAAAAATTTTTCTTCTCCAACTGCAGTTAATATTTCAAAAGTTGCTTGGAACATTTCTCTAGCCATGCCACCCATACAGTGAAATAGGTCGTGTGGACACTGAAGATGACGATCACGCATAACTTTGTTAAAAATAGAAGGATTTTCTCGAATACCATATTCTGTAGCAAAAAAATCTCGTTCAGTTTAAGTCTGTGCATTTTTTACATCAGCAATTTGCAACATAGTTTTGTGATGATATCGTCCATGTTTTGCAATATTAAAAAAAATATCATGTAAATCGTTATGATGAATCATACAGTTACAGCATCCATAATTTGCATTATGATTCTTTACTCCTGCTTGTTTGTTGCCTTCTGGTAAATCACTAGTAATAACACCCAATCCACCACTTACCCACACACGTTGATTATTAATTTCTAATTCATATCCTTTCTCAAGTTCTTGAATATCCTTAATAATTGGCTGAAGTACCTCATCACTTGCGGCTGAATAAGGGATAAATCCATAAAGAAAATGGTTTTTAAATTTTTGGCGTAAAACCTGCTTCATATTACTAATTTGTAGATAGATTCCACCAATGGCATGATATGCATTACGAAATGGGCCAAACTTATCGATGTAAATATCTAAAAAAAATTTGTATATAGGTAAATTAGGTGGAGAATTTTGAATGGTTATATATTCAACAGGATGTTGATGTCGTAAATCAATTGGTCTTGTGATCCACCGCCCATTTATATAATACACTATTTCATTTATAAAATACTGATAATTGCTAAGTTCGTTAATATCACTTAACCAGATATCTACTTTTGATAAAATATTTATTGGATTAATAATAATTGTGTCATCTGTCATCCATAGACATCCATCATTAGAAGCAGCTTTTCTATGTTTAGATTTGAGTACCAAAGGTAACAAACCAAATTCAAAAATACGTTCAATTTTAATACAGGTATCTTGAGTATCATCAACACGTAATATAGAAACAATTCTACCATGCATACCATGTTTCATTTGTATCTTTATCACAATACGTGATGAAATTACCAAGAATGTAAACAACTATTAAGAATAATAATATAAATTAGTAAATTATATAAAGAGTTTTACGTTAATTAGCACATAATATTTACCATCATTTAATTTGAAGCTCATTTCACCAAATAATGGTGTAGTGTTTGAAATCGAATATATTCGAATATACTCGAGTATTCATTTAAATTTATAAAGTGTATTCGAATAATATTAGAATAAGTTAAATTTCATTTTATAGTAAAAATTTACATAATTTTTAGCCTGAATTATGATTTTAACTCAGTTAAATTTAAGGATTTAATGCCCAATTAGAATTTTAACTATACTATATCTGGCTAAATGAATACTCAAATAACCACTATGCTTATTCGAATACTCGAATATATTCGAGTTATTCGAATAACTATTACATAATTCCAAACACTATAATGGTGATTTATGCCAGAGATCTCCATGCCATATTTCACGTTTATTTTCACAATATATCCCTGGCCCAAAGTACATATGCTCATGTAATTATGGATTCGCTAATATACGACAAAGAATATTTTTCAAAGAAAAAATTAAAGCTTGACCTGCAGATTTAGAGGTAGATGGTGTATTGCGATAATTAAGGTTAACAGGATGGCCTTTAAATGGGAGGAGTGGTAAACCATCTCAGTATTTCTTAATAGTTGCAAGTGATAGCAGAACATCTTTTGGATTGAACTTAGAATGTTTAACAATATTTGCAAAATCCCTATATGCTGCTAAACCTGATTTTACGAAAAAATAATTAGAAATCACGTTAGTTACATATTTAACAAATTAAATAATTTTTTATTTACTGAAAATTAGTTATATGTTACCTATTTGATGCTTTGTCACCCACAAAAACAGTAAAAATGTAGTGTAGTTTGGAAAATACGAGCCTGTTGTATTTTTAGAGTAATGATTCTGTTTTTTACTCCCATCATACATTTTTTCGTTAAACTCTCCATTTGTGTCTTGGTCATCATCATCATCAGAAATATTATAAAAATCGCCACTATCATTAGGGATATTTAAAAAAATGTTATTATCATCATAAAGATTATCGCTTTCATTTATAAGAATGTCCTCAAGTTGTAATGGAATCTTGTTTTTTTCATATAAATTCTGAGTTTGCGAGTTAATATTGCTTTTTGTGAAAGGGGAAGTTGTACCACTTGAAAAAGCATGATTTGATAGATTTGGACTTTTTGCTCGTATATATTTAGGTTTTTGTAAATGAAAATTAGAAGTTTATTGTTGTTGATCAGCTCTAACCTGTCTTAAGAACATTATTTACAAGTTTAAAAAGGTAAAAAAAATTTTCTTAATTTATACATTCCTTTACTGAATTTTTTTTTCAATTTTTTTTTTTTCAATTAATTCGTCCTGATTTCATAATTCCATACTTATTTTTTATAGTATAACTACGTCACGCTGCGCCAGCTACAAGATGTATTATGTTGCGTTAAAAAAAAAATTAGCCATATAAGAAAAAAATGCATTAAATAAAAAATTAGCCGTAAGCTTTTAAACTAACCAAATAAAGATAAGCAACAGTAACATTAGTAATCACCAACCAACGATTTTTAATTATAAAATCAGGAGACAAAGTAGGCGCAGTACAAACACAGCCTCAGATTATTTATATAGGATAATCTAAATAAACATTACCGATCGATATGAATTTTTTTTTAAAAAAAAAGATTAGATTAGTACTTAATAGTTTAATTAAGCTTAAATAGTTTTAGTAAATGATTAGTAAGACAATAAATATAAATATAATTGAAATTTTTTTAGCAATTAAATATTATTTTTTTTCTTTTATTTATTAAATATGCCTCGCCCTTGTAAAAATACAAAACATACTGCAATTACTAGAAATACGCCTCAACCTACTATTAATGAAACTTCTTCAACAACATCTACTGCACCTTCAATTACAATACCTTCAGTTACAATTACTGATAATTCCAAGGTAGATGTACTAAGTGATATAGGTAAGCACAACGGTAACTTAGTGAGTATAATTTATAAATAAAATATTAATAAATTCACATTTTATAGAAAAAAATGATTTAAATGAGCTAGTTGATAAAAACACGGCAAACTTCTCAAATAAACATAGGAAGCTTAGTAACGGAAAAAGTATGATATTAGGGTTTGAATTTACTAAGAGTTTTTTTATATAATGTGTATAACTACTAAATAAAACTATAGAAACTGTGGAATGTAATCATCAAGAAGTTGATAACGTCCTAGTTCATAAACCCTTAGAAATTAGTGATGACGATGATAGTGATACAATTGATGCTACAATCCAACCAGCATCTCCTGTAAATACAGTGTTATCCAAAGAGACAGTTCCGTTTAAAGTTGATACAGTTTTCTCTACAAAGGACCAGGACTCAGCAGCACTCATAGCATCTCTTGCATTTAACAATTTTACGCCGATATTTGCTGCATTATTTCAAGCAATGGCTTCAAGTATAATTCCTTCAATTACAGGATCTACAGCTGCGACCACTTCAACAATAACTAATACTACGAATAATACAGTTTCAAATAATATAAATATTTTAAATTTTTCATCAAGTAATTTTTTAAATTAAAAATAGTATCTAATAATTTTTCTTTTTATAGACTCAACAGTCTCAACTCGCCACATTATTTATCAATGAATCAAAGGTCTTTTTTCTCCATATACGTAAACCAACACCAGAGTTGATTCTATCATTAGCTAGAGAATGTGCAAGATATCTTGGGATTACTGAATCATTAAAAGCTGGTGATATAAAGAAAAAGGGTTACAGATGGTTTTCAACCTGAAGAGTACGATTGTATGACCAATGTGCTGTAATGGCCTTCAAATTTTTAGACTGTTACAGGTAACTTTTTGTATGATCTTTCTTTGATGCGTTATATTAATATTTAATATGGTAATAAAACTAATTAAATCTTTTTTTATATAGTATAACTATGAATGATCTTTCAAATTCGTCTCACCTTCGTAACTTTGTAAGTACAGATGATATTGCTGACATCTTTGAGGCACAATTGAAGCAAATCAAAAAGGACCAATTGTTTGAAGATCGCTCTTCTTTAACAATGCTTAAAAATTATTTGGCAGAAGCCATTTTAATTATGGTTTATTATTTTGTGTGCAAAAATATTGATTGTACTACATATAACAATGCGTCGAAAATTCGACGTACAGAATGGCGAAGTGCTATATTAATTGATTTACATGCTTTTGATCATATGACTGTTGATTTGCATGTTACTTTTGAAAGCGGAATAACAATCGCACAAGACATAAATATTCGTGGTTATATGAATTGGAACCATTAATTACTATAAAAAATGAAGTTATAAGTATATTTAATATTGAAAATTCTATAGTACTACTAGCTTAATATAATTGTATATGCATTGAAGTATTGTAAATACGTTTATTTCTGAAATAATACATAACCATTGTAATCATAGCAAAATTTATAAAATATATTTCATATTAATTTCAATTTATTTTATTTCGTAATATTTCTATTATTATTTGTAATCTATTCATAAACTATTTCAAAATGCATCACAAAAATAATACAGATATAATTTATTATTACAAATCAATTTCAATTTATTTTATTTCGTAATATTTCTATTGTTATTTGTAACCTATTCATAACAATTTCGAAATGCATTGCAAAAATAATACAGAGATATTTTACTATTACGAAATCATATTGACTTATTTTATTTTGTAATATTTCTATAACCTATTATAAACCATTTTGAAATACATCACAAAAATAATATAAATATGTTTTACCATCACAAAATCATATCATAATTACATAAAATTAATATCAATTTATTTTATTTTGTAATATTTCTATTGTTATTTGTAACCTATTCATAAACAATTTCGAAATGCATTGCAAAAATAATACAGAGATATTTTACCATTACAAAGTCATATCATAATTACATAAATACTTCTGAATTATTACCAAAACATTAAAAATATATGCCAAAAAAAGTATCATTTTTAGCAAAGGAGATTTTTTTATTAATTGTGAAATGGGACATAGAAAATTTATCAGTATAGGCAATTATCGGTACATAGGATATCGGTATATAGAGGTCTGACTGTATATGAAAAATGATTAAAAGTTTAAGAAATTTTTTCTAACAGTTTCAAGACATCATTCAGTTTATAATTAATAGGATTTAATAGTAAGAGGTTCATTGATACACATTAGCTTAAATTCATCATAAACTATACGATTAAAAAGAGAATTCCACTATTTCTTAATCATCACCAATGTTTTCCTTTATGGAAATTGTTATTGAATAATGAGAATCTGAAGGATATCCAGATATTCTACAATTGAGAATTATTACTGACAAAAAATGAGTTATCATTTACAATTATATTTGTTACAAAAAAGTACTTTATTACATACCATTAGGTAATTTAATAAATACATAGAGATATTCTTTTTTTGGCTGTGAACTTTTCTAATATTCATTGACCTTATAGACTGAAACTAATTCGCTAGAGTCAAAAAAATCTGGTCTTAGCATTAAACTTTATCCAAGTACTATTTCTGTTCACCATAATTTAAGATCATTTGCGCCAAAAATAACAATCACGTTTTTCAGCTTTAATAAGTCTCTTAAGATCACCAACCATTTCGTTCAAACTAATTTTAACAGGAAAGGCATTCAATATGCAGTAATATAGTAATAGATATCATGAATGCTAAAAGTGATCAACTATCAGATGCAAGGTTTATTAATAGACTGCATACTAAGAATAGACAACTGCAGTCCATCAAATGGATTTAATGAGTGAAAAGTTTGTTATCCATATATTTTGTATACTTTGCATGCATGAAAAGCAGGTTGTATTTTGATTAATAAAAATATGATATTATTCTTTATATATATGGCAAAAGTATAAATATTGTGTTATTCTATCCTACTGGTTAATCATGTACAATAAAACCATAATAACTCCTACTATCATAATATAATTGTTTATACAAAGACTGGACAATAAGTTTAAAGAAGCTGAAAAGTGTATGAATAGAGAGCTATATGAGGATATTAGGAAATAGCTTCTCAAACAGCTTGTAGCCATTGGATGTAATAGTAGAGAAATTGCTTTATATCAGTTTTTATGTAACACATATCCAAATGGTATTGACAAACCCTTTACTACATTTTATGAAAACTATGCAATTCAGACAAGTAGTTCAATGACTAAGAAGTAAGAACTTCGCTTCTTAGGCTTTAGAAGCTATCGGATTAAAAGCTAAAATGTTAAGAATTGACTTTAAAGAACGTAAAAAAAGTGCTATAATTCTTAGGGCTACTGTGAATGAACTTTGTGAGATTCTTACAAAATACTATTAATTCCTACTTATAGTACTTGGTGGTCCATACTTTAATACCTTTTATTATTTTTTGTCATTCAGAGAGTGATTAGATTTCAGAACTTTATATCAGGAAAATAATGACTTTATAGTTTTAGCCTTTGAAGTTTCTGTATTCTCCATATTTCTGTCAACCTCTGTGGCTCATTGTACTTTTGCTAGGAAATTTTGGAAATCTGATTCCAGAGTTTTTCCAGAGAGTCCATAAGCTTCCTAAAAAAGATACTTAATATACAGAATCAAGTTCCTTGAAATAGTTTTATAAATTGATGGAAACTCAACTGATGGATTTGATCTATAATAATCATTAATTCAAGTATATTGGAATTCTTTATCTAATTTACGCTCAATATATTACTACTAGTTCTTTTAACAATATTTTTCAATCTACAGGTTTTTTTTTTATAATATTATTGATTGATTTCACATGCTATATACAGTCAAACCTTGATATAGCAAACCCTTGATATAGTGAATTTTTCAGACAACTATAATAAATTTCCCCTTATTATAACAAATTAACCAATTAAATCTCTTAAAATCTTTACTATAACCCTATAGTGAAGTTGAGGTCTAGAACCTAGGGTTCGTTATAACAAGGGTTAACTGTACTTTCAATTCCTGCAGTAAATATTTTTGAGATACAATATATCAAACCCAAGATTCTCAACTGACTCCGTACCATTCTTCATGACACGATTAGCTTTATTTAAAGCATATACTCACTTTGTGTAACCATTATTTCCTTATATGGAAAGTATTACACAATAAGAATTTATAATTTAGGCCAGAATTACAAACAATTTTTTGTAATTCTAGCCAGAATTAAGATATACCTATATGACACTTATTTCTTTGCCTTCCTACATATAAATCATATGATTCTGACTTCATAGCATAAAAAACTTTCTCCCATTACTCTCGCGACAATATTTACAAAAAATAAAAATTTTTTCAAAGTATAATTTTACTATTACTTTGCGTTACTACTAACTATTACATATTTTCTAGTACCTACTGCTTTCTATAATCATGACAAGTAAATGAAATAATAAAGCTTCTGGTTCTTCTGCTATAAAACGTTCTACTCAGAGTTCTCCTTCTGGCAACGTTCAAGGTCAAGGTTCCTCTACTTCCACTCCCGTTAATACTTGCAACCTTTGGCTAACACTTCTGCAAAACGCATAAAAGTCTCTGGATTTGAAACTATTATGAACCAAGATATCGTTATCCCTCCTCCTCCTGCTCCTCAGAATACTACTTCAACTTCTTCTACTCCTCTTGGTAATACAAACGCTTCTACCTTTGACTTTACCGTTGGCACCTCTCTTGATGACTCCCAACATCCGGTGAGATCTCCCTATTCCCTCTGTCATCAATTTATAGAGTTGCGCAATAATTTAAATTAATAATGAAATATTACCTGTAGTATGTAAACACGAACATCTTTAGCAATAGCTTTTTCACTTTTAATTTTATTAATAATATTTGGTATATCTAAATACACGTTGATTGTTGTCTCTTCTTTTGAAAGTACTGAACCAACAATACATCCAAGAGTTAGTGAATATCGAAGACGAGATTTTAGCTTTGTATTATCAGTCATAGCTACTACTGGACCATTATATTGAACTGAATCAATTAATCTTTTAAATCTAGCAACATTCTCATAACAACAATCTGGATTAGTCAAACAATCCTCATCGTTTCTTCTTAACTGCCTATAAAATTAAAGTAAAATAAAATAAAAAACCAAATTTAAATAAATATATATTTATAAATTTAATTAATTATACCGAATTGATTGAATTGTTTTGCCTTCTAAATTTTGACAAAATAAATCTAGAGCTCTTGAACTAAACCCTTCTAATATGACTAAAAAGTTTGTAAATTCATCACTATATTTCATATTTCTTTTACTTTGATTTTTGATTTTTCTTTCAATAGCGTTACCCATCACTTCGCAAAGACTAGTGAATACTGGTACGTCTTTAAAAGCACATTTTAGTGCTTTATCAGCCAGAGTGATCCACAGATTTTCTGCTTGAATTTCAGATTCATTGTTAAGATTGTTCCAAATGTCACAGAAATCAAAATTTTGTAGAATTTTTTTTAAGGGGTTATCTTCCCAGTAATGTTTTAGGGTAAATTTGATATTAACAGGCAATGGTAAAGGACGAGCAATTTTATTGCTCAAATTTTTGTTATATCGAATTGAAGAACATTCGATACATACATTCACTTTTTCAGCAATTCCAGTACAAGTTATTGCACAAACAGAATTACCTTTAAAAGATTATTAAAAAAATCAATAACTAAAAAAAAACTAAAATACTTGATAAAATACTTGATAAATACATACTTAATCGATCAATCTTCCATATGGATTCTGCAAAAAGTTGTCGATTTAATTTCCTTTTTTGTTTATAATCCATTTTTTTCCTGCTGAATTTCTGTAAAAACAAATGAGAAAAAAGTTCGCGTACAACAACTTCAACATGATGACTACCTCCAAATTGTGCAGAAGTTCGCTTAATGTATTTTAATATTTCTTCAGATTGAAAGCCAATACAAATTAACTTCCTTTTTTTAGCATTCCTTGTATCACTTGTTTCTTCGATATTAATATTATCTAAAAATTCTTGATTTTGATCGTCATCA